TCAGAGAGAGACAACTAGCCACTTCCTCCTGTTTGGAGTTTTAAGGAAAGGTAGGCATGGCAAGAGTCAGGTCAGTAGCTGAGATGCCAGCATGATAGGAGAGCTGCAGAGGAAATGCCATGGCCCACCAGGGAATGCTGAGTGATTTCAGAACAGTGTCCAGACAGAATGGAAGATTAAAAAAAAAAAAAGCTGTATTCAAATATAATATACATACAGGAAAGTGCTCAGTGGATTTGCACAGTTGAAACCAGCACCCAAATCAAGAAACAGAAAATTACCAGCAATCCAGAAGCCCTTCTTGGTCCTCTTTTCTATCACCACACCCTTGCTCACTAAGAGGAACTTCCTAGGGCAAGGGAAATGTTGCCTTTATTTCTATTTTATGTAAGTGGAACCCTATAGAATACCCTCTTCTGTGTCTGCCTTCTTCTGTCCAACATTATATTTCTGAACTTCATCCATGCTGCTGGTGGATATGTAGTTTCTTTATTCTCAGTGCTGTGTAGGTTTCTATTGTGTGAATATGCCACAATTTATTTATCCATTCTACTGTTGATAGGCAATATGAGTAATTTTCAGTTTAAAGTATTATAAATAAAGCTGCCACAAACATGTTTCTTGGTGAAAATATGTGTGCATTTCTGCTTAGTATATAACTAAAAATGGAATTATTAAGCCATAGCTATGCTTTACTAGATACTGACAAATAATTTTTCAAAACAGCTGTGCAAAATTGTACTCCTATCAGGCCTAGGCATTTTTGGAACAGAGGGGCTAACAACAGTAGCTATCAATGAATTAAGTTGGTTTTCCCGGAAGTGAAAAAATGGCATTTGGGGCAGCATTACTGTGCATGGATTATAATGAAAACACAAGCAAATACAAGAATATGCTGTAAGAAGGTAAAGCTAAAAAATTCTTACCTCACAAGAAGAATTTCCTTGAATTCACTAATTTTTGAAATTCTCATGTTTGTAACTCCATAAAGCCTAGTGTAGAAAATTGATTCAAAAGATGTTTCTTTGCTCTTTGTAAAATGCTGTTTTAAAAATGCTATAATTTAAATTTCTAATAAATACTCAAATGTAAAAAGAGAGAGGGGGGAGAGAGAGAGAAAAGCTGTGGCTTAGAACAGTTAAGCAACTTGCTTATGATTAAGAGAAGTGAAAGCTGGGATGTGGAATCTATTAGGACCCATCATCAAAACTCTGCAATTCAGTAATGTCGTATTTGGCACATTGTTTGCTGGAGGAATTTATTACTAGATTAGGATTAAAGGAATTTGATCCATTTGAACCATGTGATATTAAAGTAGTAATTAATTCTGAGGAATCAACAAATTTTACAAAAGGAACATCTAGATTTTGTTTTTTCTTTCTAGCCTAGTAGTGGGAAATACAGAGACTTTCTTTTTTTTTAAATTATACTTTAAGTTCTGGGGTACACTTGCAGAACATGCAGGTTTGTTACATAGGTATACATGTGTCATGGTGGTTTGCTGCACCCATCAGCCCATCATCTACATTAGATATTTCTCCTAATGTTATCCCTCCCCTAGCCCCCTAGCCCCTGAATAGGCCCCAGTGTGTGATGTTCCCCTCCCAGTGTCCATGTGTTCTCATTGTTCAATTCCCATATGAATGAGAACATGTCCTGTTTGGTTTTCTGTTCTTGTTAGTTTGCTGAGAATGATGGTTTCTAGCTTCATCCATGTTCCTTTGAAGGACATGAACTCATTCTTTTTTATGGCTGCATAGTATTCCATGGTGTATATATGCCACATTTTCTTTGCTGACCACCTACTCTGTGCCCAAATTTGTACTGAGTGTTCTGATTAACAGAATGAGATAAGGTACCTTGCAAACCCTGAAGAGTAACACATAAACCAACTGTTTTACAACTTAGCTGTGAACATAAACCATAATCACAAAAAAGGCCACATAAAAGAGCAAGAGTGGAAAATAAACAAGTAATCAAGCAAAATGGGAATGTAGGGAACTCCACATTGAGACAGTCAGGGTAAGGAGGTTCTAGGAAGGTAGGACCCCAGTGGGTGGCATGTTTAGGAAAGAACTCACAGAGGAAGTAGGCCTGGAATTACGGTTTGCAGGGACCATGGAATGTGGGTACACAGAAATTGAGGAGAACATTTTGGTTCAAGTGATAATGGGACCAAAAGCCAAAAGGGAGGTAGAGATGCATGCGGCTACTTAAAGGATGGTGCGTAGTAGTCCTTTGATGGTCAGGATGGCCAGCCATAGGCTGCAGCTGCATAATCAAAGGTAGAGAATTATGACCAGTTTGTAATGCGGCATTTTCGTTACTGTCAGGGTTTATGGCTCAGACAAGTCCAGGTTTCTATGAACATGAGAAATGTGGTAGTGCTGTGGGCACACCCATGGTTTCCACCTTTAAAAACTGATCTTCAAAATGTGAAAGTTAATCCCAGCTGCTGGAAGGCTGCCATTGGGGTTGAAACACTTAGATGAGTCACATGACAGATATGATGTCAGCCACCTCCAGCTCACACACAGCTCCAGAAGTTGACGTAATATTGAGGGCAGGATGTGCACTCTAGTAAGCATGAGTTGTAGGTGGCAATATGGAAAGAGAGATTCAGCTGGGAACGTTCTTCATTTGGGAGGCAAGGCCAAGGATAGCCATAATAACCTCTCAGTGCCCCAGGGGTGTCATGAATATTTGGAGGAAGACCCACTCCAAATAGGTGGGTGACTGAGTGAGTGGGCAAAAACAATGCGGTATTCAAAAGTCTGGTGAGTGTAGAGATTCACCACCTGGCAAAGCATGATTATTCACTTTGAAAAGAAATTTCTTGAGTATTTAACAGAACATCCATTTCAAAATGTAACCTTACCAAAAGACTCTACCACTTGCAATTAAAATAAAACTCAGCCAGGTACGGTGGCTCACACCTGTAATCCCAGCACTTTGGGAGGCCGACGCAGACAAATCATGAGGTCAACAGATCAAGACCATCCTGAGCAACATGGTGAACAACAAAAGCTAGCTGGGTATGGTGGTGCATACCTGTAGTCCCAGCTACTTGGGTTCACTTGAACCTGGGAGGCGGAGGTTGCAGTGAGCCAAGATAGCACCACTGCACTCCAGCCTAGCCACAGAGCAAGACTCTGTCTCAAAAACAAAACAAAACAAAAACAAACTCATAATATCTTTAATTTGCATATACTACTTAAAGTGATATTGTTCTGAATTGTTGGACATGAGGAATTTAATTTTCTTACATTGGTTGGATGAAGCAATGTTTCTCTATATTTTAATTAATGTCCTGTGCTATAAACACCATAGACAGACCATATTGCTTTTAGTACAAAGTTTGTTGGTAGGGAGAGTGTCTTAGCATGTAAATGAGACAAGGAACATTAACTGCAGGATATTTGTTCTACTAAACAAACACATGAAAGCAGACAACATACACCTTCTGTAGACTGTTTTCATTAAGATATTTAGTTTTAGTTTAAATTTAGTGGCTTTTTTATCTTTTATCTTTTTTTTTCTAGTGGTTTCTGAACAACCACTACATGAATCATGACTTGCAGAAAGTTAAAATTTCTCTTTTATTTGGGTAAAGTATTTTAAAATTCATTTGTGGAGTTTAAATCTTAATATTGCCAAGTATAACCAAAACTTTCCCAGAATTGTGCAGTTTATGGCTAAAAATAGGAACCCATTGATATGAATGTTCCAGTGCTGCTGGTGCTGCATCCCCAAGTGTATAATGCAGGCTGGCCTTAGAGCTCTCTCCTTCCCAAATGCCCTGGTGCTCTGCCCAAGGACAGATCTCTCACAAGATCACAGGGACTCTAGATGCTGGCTTTCTGATGGGCTCAGGACACATTATTCCAAAATATAGCAACTCAGCTTTTGAGAAAATATCAGAAACAGGAAGGCCACTTTCGCCTTTCTGTTACCCTTCTTCCCTAAAGCAGGTCATAAGACCCTCACTGGAGGGTGCCCTCCCTGTACCCACAGGAAAGGTGCATCCTTCTGTTGAAGACAGAGGAGAATCTAAACAAACAGGCCTTACTATGATGCCCTTAGTTTATTGCCATACCCTTCTGTCTATTCATATTTCTCCATGACTGTCCACTCTTCATCAAACTTTATGTTTCTCTGTTTCTTTGTGTCTTCATCTCTGAAGTCTTCCATGTCACATAAAGCTTCTATTAAGTAAATCTATATGCTTCTCACTTGTCAATCTGTCTTTTCTTACGGAAGTTTCAGCTATGACCTTAAGATGGAAAGCAAAGACAATTTTATTTTCTCCCCTGCATTCTTCAAGCCTAGTAGAGTAGACACTTCACAGCTGCCAACAACTCCATCAAAAACAGCTTTTCTGCCTGCCTGCCATCACCTTGGGCTACCAAGGCTTGTAAAACCCTCAAGGTTCCAAATGCACTGAGTTCTCTTGAACTTTCGCAATGCTGAAGGTAAAATGAACGAAAGCCATTTTCCCTAATTCTGGACCTCAACTTAGCACATTTAGCCCAAGTTTTATAAAGGCTTTTATGAAAAAATCCTCTTGGGTGCTACCTGTAGAAAGCTCAGGCATTAGTTTGGGTGATTTAAGAAGGAGACAAACGCAAACCTCTGTACTTCCTGTTTCTCCTCCAGGTAACTCCCCTCAAAAGTTACTCTTCCCAAGTTCTCAATAGCACCATCTCTTCACAATTATATCAACTCATGCAGAAGATGTATAGATCATTAGTTTTGCAGGCACTGCCAGATTTATTTTCCCAGTTTAGTATTAGCCAAAATGACCCTGAGAATGCATCTATCTCAGTAATTAAACTTTAACCATTTTCAAAGTGTCCACACAATTTATAGCAATGTAGAAACAAAAGTGCTTGCATTCTATAACATTTCCTACCTTGGGATGTTGTACATGTGATTCCTTCTGAGAAAGGAAGCCCAGTCAAGAACCTGACAATGAACCTTCACAAGGTCTAGAATGTTACCCCTGAGAATCTGTCCTCTGAACAGCCTTCAGCGAGACCCAGGAAATCTGGCTCTTATGGCTATTCACTGATGATCATCTGGTATCTTGGACAAAATTCCTAGTTGATCCTTTCAATGTAGTTAGATTAGGTATTTTTAGATTCCTTCCAGTGCTAAAATCCTATCATTCTATTAATCTAGAAGCTTTCTATAAAGCTTTTCCCCCTTTAAAATTTTTTGTTGTTGATACTGCAGTGGAGCCAAAATGCTTGCATTGGAAAGGGTTAACAAAAAGAGTCACACAAAGATAAAGCATCAATAAACAGAAACCTTGGCAACGTAAAGCTGGAGAAATGGCCTTGGTATCTACGGGACAATCACTTCTTTAAACACAAGCTCCAAGGTCTTGCCAGAAATTCAGTATCCGCATTTTTGTGGTCTCCTTTCTCATAGATTATTATCTTTGGTTGCTCTTCTGGTGGGTGGTCCCTTGTGCATACTGGAGACTGTTGATTCTGCAATAGAGCTTGACTTAAAATAACTATGAGTTTGGAATTTTCTAGTACTTATGGCAGATTTCCTTTTCTAAGAAGCTCCCTGTTTTACTTAACCTCCAAAAGGAAGTTTGGAGTTCTGCTGGTAAATCAACTCTCATTTTACTGGGAAATTCCTAGTTTGGCATTTAAAATTGGCCATTTGCTTTAAAGCAAATTATCAAAGCAGTGGGACACTTACCTGTATCTCGTTCTCTGAGTGTCAAACGACAGACAAGTTCTGGACCTTCTCTGAGGATGCCGGATCACCTTGGTTATGATTAGCATGAGATGGATTTTACATACTTACCTAAGTGAACTACACTCCAGTCTTTTAAAAGTTAAGGTTGACCAGGTTTGGCCACCGAACAAAGTCACAATAACCTTCTTTTTAATCTTCCACGTACTCTTTAGGTATTAGATAACTGAAATATGAATGAGAGGTGGTTGCCTCACTCTAAAGCAGGTTGCAAACTATAACCTATGGCTCAAATTGAGTCTGTGGCCTATTTTTGGTAATAAAGTTTCGTTGGAACACAGTTGCACTCATTTGTTTACATTTTATCTGCAGCTAATTTCATATGACAATGGCACAGTGGAGTTAGTTGGAAAGGACAGACAGAGACTACGTGTCTTATAAAGCCTAACATATTTACTATGTGCCCCTTTATAGAAAAAGTTTGAAGACCCCTACTCAAAACAATCCTATACAGGGACTGCCAAAAAACCAAAGGCTGAAGTTTTGAGAACTATGACTTCTGAACAACGTTCGACTGTTTGTTGTATTTAAAACAGTGTTGTCCAAGCAGAGTTTCCTAGAATGCTTGCTAGTTCTACAGAATGTCACCAGATTTAACAAAAGAAAAAGGGAATTACAGTCAAATAAATTTGGCAAGTTCTGGATAAGTCAAGTGAAACAGACTTAGTCTTTGTAGCCCTTTTCAGGTCATTAATATATATGACAACTCTACAAAAGAGGATTAGATACAGATTTCTTAAGTCACATAGCCTTAGAAAACTTTCCTTTTCATGAAGCACCTCATAGAGTTAATGTTCAAGGCACATACTGTAGGAAAAATGATTTGTTTAGAGTGTGAAAATCTGATCATACATTAGATTACCAAATGCGCATGTCTTCAAGAATGCTTAACTTCAACAATAAGCTGGTTAACAGGAGAAAGGCGATTGTATCACAGATTTATTTTTACCTAAAATCTGAAACTTTCAGTAGCAGCTAGCTCCTCGCTGAGAGTACATTAGGGATAATATGATACTGACATCGTTGTGAAGACAGAGCAGAATCAAACTCCATTCACGGGACTTCCACTCAATGAAAAGAAATTCTCAGGGCCTTTCTTCACCGCCCAAATTTTAGAAAAGCAGACAATTAGTGTTCAAATCACAGCTCCCAGTGAATGTCGCTTAATTCTGACCTGAACACTTAGTATATAAAGGTTATGTGGGCGTCAAAATGTCTAGGAAAGCCTTATGTGTCCTCTGAGGAAAGTTGCAAGGAACAATAGAAAAGTTCCTGAATATCGGGAAATGTTTTCCCAAGATCAAGAGATTTATTGGTATGTGGGAAAGATTCCAAAGCAGCTCTGTTGCCTGAAACATTTCAAATTTGACTGCTAGCTGCCAGTGCCAGTTTTGTCGAAGGGCAACATCAGTGCAGTGGCACACAATGTCCTAGGCTGCCTGAGTAACTTAAAAGCAGCGATGAGGTTTCCAAAGGCAGAGTTTATTTTGCCAGCATACATATTTTTGAAATTACTGTTGACATTGTCACCTGTTTGCCTAACTAAGAAGGTTATTGACAATAAGCCAGGCATATGTTTGCTCAAGCCAAGCAGGACTTAGAAACCAAACAATCATTCCCCAGTTCAAAAAATCAAAGATTTGTCCGCTCTAGTGAATGACTTCCACCTTAAAAAATGCTAGGAACCTGCCTGCTTGCCTATAGAAAGACTCCTCTTTCACTGGCTGATGTTTTTGCAGCCACATAGAATAGTAACCTTTGCTTAGTATGGGCTAGGAGCTGAAAGGGATCAGAATATGCCACTGTAAAATATGTCACTGTGACATATGGATTATTTTTGTGATACTTGTTGATTAGTAAGTTTATTTAGTAAATATTTACTGAGGGAAGATGTCAGACCAACCATATGACAGACAATGTGCTTGGTGCTAAGGATATAGAATTGAAAATAACAAACAATCCTGTCCTTAAAGAGGCTTCAATCATGTTGGGAGTAATAGATGTTTTAAAATAAACACATTGTATATAATGAGCCAGGAATGAGCAACTGGGAATGCCAGAGGGATACAATGTCAAATAAGACCCTGGGAGAAGCTACCTTTTGAGCAAAGATCTGCAGGAGGCAAGAAAAGGAGCACTGAGACTGTCTGGGGGAAGAGTGATCCAGGAAGTGGGATCAGCAAGGACAAAGGCCCTGATCCCACTGAGAGGAGGGCATGATCCAGAATGAGGAGGCTGGCGTTAGTGGAGATGAGCAGGTAGACAAGTGTGGGTAAAGAGATGAGTGAGGCCATCAGTTTCCGTTCAATGCTGCTGTCCACCTGTCCTCAAGGCTCCATTTTCTTTGGCCACTTCTTTTGTCAGTACAGGTGAGCAAGCTTCCACTCTTCTAAGTTACCTTGCCGATCTGCTGGCAGTGGAGTTTATGTTTCACCTTCTCAGGTGTATCTACACTTTGTTTTTTTGTTTTTTCTAACCATGTTGAATTTTTAAAGTAAATTGAATGATCACAGTAAAAAGACAAAACTATATATAGTAAACACCGAAGAGAGGACACATTGCAGCAAATAGACTTGGGTGAAGTTTCTGGATTCACAACTTCCTAGATGGGTCATTCTGGTCTAATTATCCAAGTTTTCTGAGCTCATTTCCTCATCCAATATCTAAATCAGGCAATATACATAATGCTTATCATAGGCCTTGGCACATAGTAAGTGTTCAATAAATTTAGATTTCCTGAAAGAGTCAGGCAGACTAAAGTTCCAGAATCATTTTCCAACCCACAGTACAACCACAACTTCAGTGCCACTCCAGTTGCTGATAATGCATATTGGTTCTACTTTGTGGTACTCTGCATAGGATGTGTATTTATAAAGAGACAATTTGCATTGCTCACCGTAGCATAGGAGTGCGTTGGCTAAGGGAAACCCTTCATTTCTCCAAAAGTAACTTATAGCCCTATTTCCCTGATTTCATCATTTTTCCCTACTCTGAATTCAGTCAAAATATGTGAAATTTATTATTGTAATTATTTACAAGTATTTATTATTTAAAAAAATTTGAGATTGTTTTTTCTGACAAATGTTCAAATGTTTTGAGTACTGTGCACATATAGATCTTGCTGTACTGGAAGCACTATGCAGGTTCTATGCAGAATCAATTGTAAGCATTTGCACCAGGGCTGGTGGACACAGCCTCCATGTAAAATGGACTTAGAGATACATTGGACAAGTCATGTTTGATGCAGACATTCTCCTGCAATTGACCGAATCCTGCTATGCGGTCTTACTTCATGGGTTAACCCACGCATGACTTCTATTTTAGTCTCCTACCCCAGAGTCATTTCTAAGTAATTTGTTCACCCCTATGTTAGTTTTATAGATGATTAAGGTTCTCGTATTGGTGGGGGGGGGAAGCTATTCAGAAGGGATTGATAAATTTAAAATCTGCCAGGATTATGATGATTGAGGTCATTTCATACAATGAAAATTTTGATCTGGTTTTAGCTTTGAACTTGAGGATATCAGATACGAAAACTATAAGCGGCTTAGGAACAGGCTAGATGAGAACACATACTACTTATTTCTCAGATGCTTTCTATGAATATTAAATCTCAGACCTTGACATCGTGTGCAGCCTTCATGTTGGAAATTATAATTAGAAAATACCACAATAAGGGGCCTTTGCTGAGTTATTTATACATTTGTGTCCTTTGGAATTATTGGCTCTGGCATTCTCTGTGGAGGTAGCTGGGCTTAGCCTTTTCTCTGTGCAGCTGCTCTGGGCATGGGGGACATACCCCGGACACTGGGTCTGTATGCTGAGGTGTCCCTGCCCTCATGCCCTCATGTTCTACTCCTCACAATGCATTGCTTCCCACTTCCTTCAAGAGAGCGCTGGGTATCAAGTCAGGCTTGTTTTCTTATCACTTGTACTGCCTTAAAAATCCTCTTCTAAAATGCATTTTATTCTTAGGCATTTACACAGAAGTACATCCCACCCTCTGACTCGTAATTAGAATTCTTCCTAAAGACCCTGAGATTCCTGTGACTATATTAGTTTGCTCCACTCCTGCAGCAAAATGCCATGGATGGGGTGGCTTAAACGACAGAAGTTTATTTTCTCACACTTTTGGAGTCCAGAAGTCCAAGCCCATTCTCGGGCCTCATTCCTTGGCTTGCAGATGGTCACCTTCTTGCTGCATCCTCACACTGTGTTTTTTGGTGTGTGTGTTTCTGGTGTCTATTTTTATTTTCCTAGCCTGCTTTTCTTATAAAGACACAAGTCAGATTGCATTGGGGCCCACCTTAAGCACCTCTTTTTAACTTAATTATCTCTTTAAATGTGCTGTTTCCAAATACAGTCACATTCTAAGGTACTTCACAGTAAGGACTTTGAGGGGATACAATTCACTCTGTGACAGTGACATTTTCATGTCATCAGCTTTATTAGTTGCTTCCTGCAACATGCAAAGGTACACTTTTTGAAAATCAGTGGCACAAAAAGGAGAAAAGGAAGAAAAATTGACAGCTGTGGCACATTTATGGTTGTAATTATTTACGAGTATTTATTACTTTAAAAATTCTGAGATTGATTTTCCTGACAAATGTTCCTTTTTTTTTTTTTTTTTTTTTTTGTTTTTTTGTTTGTTTTAGAGGGAGTCTCACTCTGTTGCCCAGGCTGGAGTGCAGTAGCTTGATCTCAGCTCACTGCAGCCTCTGCCTCCTGGGTTCAAGCGATTCTCCTGCCTCAGCCTCTGTGCTTACTGTTTCGTCCAGGCCAATTACAAAGAGAAACCAGCCAAAGATGAAAGGTAAACTCTGGAAGTTAATGTGTTTTAAGAACAAACAAACCAAACATAAGACATAATTTCAGTTAATAGTAAACACCAAATCAGAACAGATATCTCAAAATCCTACCGGTTGCAACCAGAATTTCTTCCTGAGTTCTGGAAGTGGTTGAGATTGGGAGCGGAATTCAAATGATTCTGTGTAGAACAAGCTCTGTATGAAATGTGAACATTTTATGTAGCTGGGACTACAGTCACGTGCCACCACGCTCAGCTAATGTTTTGTATTTTTAGTGGAGACAGGGTTTCACCGTGTTTGCCAGGATGGTCTCGATCTCCTGACCTTGTGATATGCCCGCTTCAGCCTCTCAAAGTGCCGGGATTACAGGTATGAGCCACCGCGCCCAGTCAAATGTTCACATTTTATGAGTACTGCTGCACATTTGGAGCTTGCTGTACTGGAAGCTGCATGTTCCATGCAGAATCATTTGAATTCCTCCGCCAATCTCAACCACTTCTAGAACTCAGGAAGTAATTCTGGTTGCAACTGGCAGGATTTGGAGATAATCTGCTCTGATTTGGTCTTTACTCTTAACCGACATGATGTTTTTTGTTGGTGTGTTTGTTCTTTTTAAAAGCACATTAACTTCCAGATCTAACCTTTCATCTTTGCTTGGTTTCTCTTTATAATTGGCCTGGACAAGACAGTAAGCACAGAAATCAAGAATTAAATTTGTTAGACTCAGAAAATCAGTGAATCTTTGTACACTTAAGCATCATCAAAAATATATGAAGAAACCAGTTTGCTAAATAGATGGCTGATTGATATTGTCTTGTTTGCTTAATTGATTACTTGTTTGTTTCTGGGAAGAGGTTTCCCGAGTCTATTTTTCTCTATAGTACTTTACACTAAATTTTTTTGCACAGGTATTTCATCAGGCTTGCCTAACCTCATCTACATATGAAGTCATTCATCTACAAATCTTCAAACTATTATTTCTGAACTCTAGAAAGAATGGATTCGATTTAGAGTATTGCCACAGATATTGGAGGGAGCTTCTGAAAAAGATGGAGGAGTCCCAGAAGTTAGGAATATACTACAAGTTGTAAGAATATGGTCCACATATCATTTTAATGTTTATTCTTAGTTTTAACATACATTTGATTAGAATCTGAATTTGAATTTCAAGTGAAATTCAACTAACTTTTTAAATGTAAGAAGTGAATAACTTTGAAATAATCTCAGTCCATATTTTTCAGATTCTATGGAGATACTGCTTTTTAGAAGTTATAATCAATGTAAGGCATTTGAATTTTTATTAAAAAAATAATATATTTTTGTTAAATTGAAGCACTACAGGAAGGTAAAAAGTTATAAGTAATTATTCTCCTGTTCTTGCCTCTTTTCTAACCACAACTCCAACTTAAATGTTCTCAATTTCTCCAGAGGAAAACACTGGTAACGGTTTGCTGTCTAGCCCTGCAGGTATGTCCTATACATTTACATAGATACCTTTTGATGCAAATGTAAACCTACTCTGCATATAATTCTATGAATTAATCTTTTATCGCCTCATCATGTATTTTCAATATATATTCATGTCATTATTTGTAGATATACCTTATTATCTTAAGCACTATGTAATATTTATTAAATACATATGTTATTATTAATGTAACTAGCCTCTTAGTGATGGGCATTAATAGTTTATATTTTTTTACTTACAAATAATACCCTAGTTAGGACACTTATATATGTGTATAGGCCTGTATACAGTCATATATGTATTTATACATAGAGAGTCATGCATTGCTTAACATCAAAGATGTGTTCTGAGAAATGTGTCATTAGAAAGTTTTGTCATTGTGTGAACATCAGAGTATACTTACACAAACCTATATTTTACAGTCTACTAAACACCTAGGCTATATGCCCTAGCCTATTGCTACTAGACTACAAACCTGTATAGCATGTTACTCTACTGAAAACCACAGGCAATTATAACACAATGGTAACTATTTGTGTGTCTAAACATATACTATAAAAGTATGACTATACTATTAAAAGATAAAAAATGGTATGTCTGTAGAGGATACTTACTATGATACTTACTTGCAGGACTGGAAGTAGTTCTGGGTGAGCCAGTGGATGAATGGTGAGTGAATGCGAAGGCCTAGGACGTTACTGTGTACTACTATTGACTTTATAAACACTGTACTATTAGGCTACAGCAATCTTATAAAAAAATTCTTCTTCAATAATAAATTAACCTTAGCTTACTGTGACATTTTTACTTTATAAAATTTTAAAGGTTTTTTCAAGGTATTTGACATTTTTATAAGAACACTTCAGTTAAAATGCAATTACATTGTAAATCTGTAAAAAAGTATTTTCTTTCTTTATATTCTTATTCTATAAGCTTTTTTTCTATTTTTAAATTTTTAATTTTTAAAAACTTTTAAAACTGGTTTGCTAAAAACTAAGATGCAAACACACACATTAGCCTAGACCTACACATGATCAGGATCATCAATCTCCCTATCTTCCACCTCAACATTTTGTCCCATTGGAAAATCTGTAGGTAACATAACATGCATGAAATGCATGAAGCTATCATCTCTTTTCTTTTTTTAAATTTTGTTGCTGTATTTTTTTGTCAGTGTTATTT